CACAAAACCTTACACCGGGAAACTGAGATGGGTTAAGCCACTCACCATCAGCAGTAATTAACACAAGTCCTTGATCTCTACCTGTGAGAAGAAGTAACAGAGAATCTACTGGACTTGCGAGGAAAGAGATTGTTTGGCTAACTCTTTCCAGACATTCCCTACTCTGCCAAGCATAAACGAATCAAGAATCACTAATCTGCTTATTAGACCATCAAAGCTAAATGATGCCCTCATAAGTACTTTATCCAGCTAAAATGTGTTGCAGAGAGCCACAAAGTATCCATCTTTAAGAACTCAAAACTAAGACCATGACAATAATCTACTGATATAACTCCATTTGTAAGGGAAACTATTGGAGATACTGAAGATAAGGACGTGAAGTTGAAGATAAGGACGTGAAGACTTGGGAATATACTTATAAAGTTGAGATAATGATGTATTTAGTTGGAGTTGTTATCCTAAATAAGTCGGTTTAGGACTTTGTATAAATACTCTTGTAGTCATGTTAATAAAGTCAAGCAGTTCTATAAACTTATATGGTATCAGAGCAACAATCAAAACAATAAAATCTTGCTCAGAATTGCAATTTTGATATTTCAAGTTTCAGAATGAGTGACGAAGATAAACAGATTACGGTGAAACAGGGAGGTGCAGTTATTACCTCGCCTTATGCCCTGTTTTCATCTGACAATCCAGGTGCCCTAATCACGTCCGTGCAGCTGAAGGGAGATAACTACAACGAGTGGGCACTGGAGATGAGTAATGCACTTCGGGCAAAGAAGAAGATGGGATTTGTCGTTGGAACTCTGGCTAAACCAAGCGAAGATAGTGAAGAGCTGGAGCTGTGGTTGAGTGTAAATTCCATGATAGTCGGTTGGATCAGATCTGCTATTGAGCCAAGAGTGAGATCAACCGTAACGTTTATTACTGAAGCTCACAAGTTGTGGGAAAATTTGAAGAAGAGATTTGAGGTGGGAAACAAAGTCTGTATTCATCAGTTGATGAACAGTTGGCGTTATGTAGGCAGAATGGAAAGCCTGTGATTGACTACTATGGACGTCTGGCTATGATGTGGGAAGAGTTACAGACGTACAAACCACCTCCTGTGTGCAGCTGTTCAGCGGCTGCAGTGTATGAGAAGGAGAGAGAGGAAGAACGTGTTCATCATGGGGCTCGATGATTCCAGGTTTGGTAATGTGGTTACTGCTATAATTGAAGCAGATGAGTTACCTGATTTGGGTAAAACGTATGCTAAAGTAATCAGAGAAGAGGCAAGGTTGAATGCAGCCAAATCCAGAGAGGTGGCTCAACAAGAAGCAATCGGTATCGCTAGCAGAAGAGAAGCACAAATAGAGGAAGTTTCAGGTTCTGGAACAAAGAAGGATAGTCGTGATACAATGACAGCACGTAATGACAATAATGGTGGATCGTATGGAAACAGATCAAGAGACAGAGCATGTACTAACTGTGGTAAACCAGGACATGACAAGAGTAATTGTTGGCAAATAATAGGATTTCATGAGTGGATGAATGAAAGGAGAGGAAGAGGCTCAGGAAGAGGAACAAGAGGTTCAGATCGTGGTGGTTATAGTCGTGGGGGAGCTAGTGGCAGAGGTGCAGCTAACACTGCTCATGCGAGTAGTTCACATGCTTCTGGTAGTTCTGATTTGTCTCCAGAGCAATGGAAGGCGATAACTCAGATTATAAATGAATGGAGATCAGGAAGTCAGTCGGAGAAACTTTCTGGTAAGCATATAGGTGACGTTATTATTGACTCAGGTGCCTCGCACCACATGACAGGAAACATCTCACTGCTTGTGAACGTGAGAAGTACACAACCTTGTAAGGTGGGTTTTGCAGATGGAGGAACTTCGGTGTCTACTCAGATGGGAGATATGGTTCTTACTGATTGTATTTCACTTCATGATGTGCTTCTTGTGCCAAAGATGGATTGCACACTCATATCCGTGTCTAAGTTATTAAGGCACACAAATTGTTTTGCTTTGTTTACAGACACCATTTGTGTTTTGCAGGACCGTTCTTCGAAGACTCTGATTGGAGCCGGTGAAGAACGTGATGGGGTTTATTTTTTCAAGGATGTGAGAGTAGCACGAGCAAGCAGAGCTGATGGAAATGAAGATCAACTGTTGTGGCATCGACGACTCGCGCATCCTGCGTTGTCGGTTTGGACACACTTGTTACTTGCCAAATCAGAAGTCAAGAATGTGTTGCAACGGTTTTGTACGTATGCAGAAAAACAGTTTAATCAAGCTGTTAAGATAGTAAGGAGTGATAATGGAACAAAATTTCTCTGTTTGGGAAAGTATTTTCAAGAAAAAGGAGTGTTGCATCAGAACAGTTGTGTCGACACACCGCAACAGAACGGACGCGTAGAAAGGAAGCATAGACACATATTAAACGTTGCAAGGGCTTTGTTGTTTCAGTCCAAGATGCCTGTGAAGTTTTGGGGAGAAGCTATCACCACAGCAACACATGTTATAAACATGACACCAACCAAAATCTTGCAGGGAAGGTCACCGTATGAGATCTTGTTTGGAACCAAACTACCGTACAGTTCATTGAGGGTATTTGGTTAATTATGTCATGTTCACAGGCGAGATCGAGATAAAAACAAGTTTGGAGAAAGAAGTAGGAGGTGTGTATTTGTAGGCTATCCATTTGGAAAGAAAGCCTGGAGGGTGTATGACTTGGAGAATAATGAGTTTCTTGTATCAAGAGATGTGAGCTTTGTTGAAAATGTCTTTCCCTTTGCACAAGTAATTGAGAAGAAAACAAACATACGAGAATTGACTGGTAGTCCAGATGATGACTGGATCATTGATATGACTGAGAAGGAAAAGGAGGGTGTATCTACCAAGAATTCAGAAGTTTCAGTAGGTAATAAGAACACTTCAACAGAGCCTACGGAACAGAACACACCGGTAACGACAGCAGAACAAGGTGAAACGGCTGTTACGACTGAGGAAGATGGGGCAGACAGTACTACTACACTCACTGAACCAGAGTTGGGTAGAGGTTGCAAAGAAAAAATACCATCAGTGAGGTTGCGTGACTATGTGAAATACAATGCTCACTGTATCACACAAGACCCCCATCACGATCTCGCCACTTCCAGTCCAGAATCAGAGTCCTTGATGACGGTTCAAGGTACGCCATATCCACTTACAAATTATATATCTGATGATATATTTTCCCCTGCTCATAAAGCTTTTCTAGCGAAAATCACAAATATGAGAGAGCCTAGGAATTTTAAAGAGGCAATGGAGCAAGATATTTGGCGTCAGTCTATGAAGAAGGAGATGACTTCGTTTGAGAAGAATAAAACTTTCAGTATAGTTGATTTGCCACCAGGGAAGAAGGCTATTGGGAACATGTGGATTTATAAATACAAGTACCACGCTGATAGGACCATGGAGAGAGCCAAATCACGTTTAGTAGCATTGGGCAACAGACAAGTTCAAGGAAGAGATTATAAAGAAACATTTGCGCCAGTTGCTAAAATGACAACATTGCGGTGTTTGTTGAGAATTGTTGCAGGGAAAGGGTGGTTGCTGCATCAGATGGATGTACACAACGCCTTCTTGCATGGAGATCTTAAAGAAGAAGTATACATGAAGCTTCCACAAGGTTTTCAAGCTTCAGGATCAAACAAAGTGTGCCGTTTGCATAAAGCAATCTATGGACTGAGACAAGCACCTAGATGTTGGTTTGCTAAGCTCACGTCTGCTCTGAAACACTTTGAATTTCATCACTATTATGCAGATTATTCTCTTTTTTTTTTTACTCTAAAGGGAATGTGGAGCTCAGAGTACTCATTTATGTTGACGATTTATTGGTATGTGGGAATGACATGGATTTTTTGACCAAGTTTAAAGAACACTTGGGGAGGTGCTTTCATATGAAAGATCTGGGGAAATTGAAGTATTTTCTTGGTATATAGGTTGGACGTGGAGAAGAAGGTATCATGCTTACACAGCGTAAGTACACACTCGATTTGATCTCAGACGTGGGACTACTTGGTTCCAAACATGTTGCTACACCAATGGAAATACAGCACAAGTTAGCCTTAGATGTGAGTCCATTTCTTCGTGATGCTGAGAGTTACAGAAGGTTGATTGGGCGTTTGATCTACTTGTCCATAACGAGGCCGAATATTTCTTATTCTGTGCACATCCTATCACAGTTCATGCAAACACCACGTGAACTACAATGGGCAGCAGCACTGCGAGTAGTGAAGTATTTGAAAGGAACACCAGGCCAGGGTATTTTGTTGGGGTCTCAAGGCGATATGAAGTTGTCTGTTTACTGTGATGCAGATTGGTCGGCATGTCCGACTACTAGGAGGTCGTTGAGTGCTTATGTAGCACTTGTTGGTGAAGCGCCAGTGTCATGGAAGACTAAAAAGCAAGGAGTTGTGTCACATTCGTCTGCAGAGTCCGAGTATAGGTCGATGGCAATGGCAACAAGAGAAATAAAATGGTTACGACGTCTGCTACAAGACTTGGGAGCTAAACAAACAAGACCAGTGCGGTTGTATTGTGACAGTAAATCAGCCATACACATAGCTGCAAATCCAGTGTTTCATGAACGGACTAAGCATATAGAGTCTGATTGTCACCAGGTGAGAGATGCAATTCAAGATGGCGTGTTAGAAACAGTTCATGTTCGGACAACAGAACAACTAGCGGATGTTTTAACAAAGGCTCTTGGCAAAGTGCAGTTTCAGAACTTGTTGTTCAAGTTAGGAGTAAGAAACTTTCATACTCCAAACTTGAGGGGGAGTATTAGAGATACTGAAGATAAGGACGTGAAGTTGAAGATAAGGACGTGAAGACTTGGGAATATACTTATAAAGTTGAGATAATGATGTATTTAGTTGGAGTTGTTATCCTAAATAAGTCGGTTTAGGACTTTGTATAAATACTCTTGTAGTCATGTTAATAAAGTCAAGCAGTTCTATAAACTTATAGAAACCTTACCAAGTAGGGAGGATCAGAAACGATTATGTGGAAGCAATGTTTAAGCTGTAGAGGCAAATCTTCAGGTTGGTTGTAATCATAAAACGTGAACTCACTTACATATCTCTCAAACCTCATAGCATTCTCCAGCAAAACAGATTCATTACTTCTTTCATCAAAACTGTATCTCTTAGTACCTTGAGATACACGTAAAGAGTAGGGCACGCGATGCAAGCGACCCTGCATCCTGAGAATCTAGTGGCGAGAGTGACCAACTCCTCAGCTACTGTCTCTGTGGCTGAGTCTGCGATTCTCCGTAACTAGCTCCACTTATTTATCGGAATCCTCTTCTCCGGCGACGGTTTTGTTCTGTTCGGATAGAAACTCCTTGAGCGCTCAACACCAGCGTGTCGTCATCTTCCCACGTCTCTATCTTGCTGAGATGGAACGTCGCCGTTTGGTTTCTGGAGTTCATCTTCTCTTTCTATTTGAGTTTTAACGACGGAAAGTAAAGGACTTTAACAGACACGGTTTATTGATCGTTTAGGGTTCTGGTTCTATTCTGATTTATACAGAAATTGCATGAAAGGTCCCCAGTGTTTTGAACATTTCAAATTAAAACACATGAGATTTTTTTGTGTCTGTTTTAAATTTAACTAGATCATCTTGACCCGCACAACCGTGCGGGTTTTTTTTTATTTATAATTTATAAAAAATTATGAATAAATAATAATATATTTATTTATAAAATTTCATAAAATACTAAAACAATAGATGTTAAAGTATCATTTTTAAACATACCATGAAAATATAAATTATCATTAACAAATACTTATTTATAATATAACTAAATAAATGTTAAAATGTATTGTACGCAAATTGCAGAAACTAAAACTTTATATTAAAGAAGATTATATATTTGATTATTTCAGATTATAATTTATGTACCAAACTCAAAAATATATTAGTAAGTAATAACAATCAAAAAAATTATAGTTATATAACATAGAACATTAAATGTAAATCATATATTTACATTTTTTATAAAACTATCAAAATGTTCTATTTATAAATGAAAAATCTGTGTGGGTCAAACTCTAGTATATAATTTTTATTTAGAATTTAGGAATGTATAATGTTATCTAAATAAATTTTAATATATTAAACAAAAATATTTGTATTTCTAATAAAAGATAAAGATATAGGGTAATATTATGGAAATACAATTTAAAAAGATGCCAAAAAGATTTTTTTTGGAGTTATTTCATTAGGATTAAAAATAGAAAGACAAAGATATTTAAAGATATTATCATTAAATTATGTAACATTTGATAATCTTCGTAATCTTTCTAAGGAATAATTCATTTTTAAAAATATCACACATGAATCAAGGTTGTGACTTCTGTTTTAATATATAAGATTTACATTTTTTATAAAACTATCAAAATGTTCTATTTATAAATGAAAAATCTGTGTGGGTCAAACTCTAGTATATAATTTTTTATTTAGAATTTAGGAATGTATAATGTTATCTAAATAAATTTTAATATCTTAAACAAAAATATTTTTATTTCAAATAAAAGATAAAGATATAGGGTAATATTATGGAAATACAATTTAAAAAGATGCCAATAAGATTTTTTTTGGAGTTATTTCATTTGTATTAAAAGTAGAAAGACAAAGATATTTAAAGATATTATGTAACATTTGATAATCTTCGTAATCTTTCTAAGGAATAGTTCATTTTTAAAAATATCACACATGAATCAAGGTTGTGACTTCTGTTTTAATATATAAGATACAGTTAAACACAAAATACACAGAATTGCAATCATGTTTTCATATTAAACTAGTGTAATCAATCCAGTATTTTCTTAATACTACTCGTTAAAAATCAATTTTAAAAATTTACATGAATATGTCTAAGGTTATCATATTTTTATTGTCAGGTTTTTATTTATTTATTTAGATATTTATCTTAATTAATTAGAATTATCTTAATACTTTTTATAGTATTAAAGTTATTTGTTTTTTATATAAATAGATCTATTATACCTAGATTAGTATTCAGTTTTTGATTGATTAATAAAGAAATAAGTTTTTCTAAAGAGACTTTTATAAATTACTGCAAACAATATTCTCAACATGTTTACGGGAGATCTTAATGATTTCGGAATACGTTGATTTTTAGGTGTTCTTAGACTACATACGAATCTATATTTATCTAGCTTATGCTATATCAGAATTGGACTGAGTTATAATACTACTAACTATTAGGTGATTACCCATGTCTTACACGGGGTGAGCTAAGAAAACAAAATATTTACTGATTATAAATCGTACATATTTTGTAAAGTAAGTTATCTTATTTATGATTTGCATGATGTCAACCAATTTTTTTAAAAAAAATTAATATTGATTTGTGATGTTTTTTTGTAGGTTGCCCAATCATTTTCTTATTTGACCCATTTTGTAGATGGTTAACAATTATGATAGGCTCAAAACGAAGGCTGTACTAAACACACTCTCTCTGTTTTAGATGGTCAATGGAAAGATCAAATTACACTCCCTCTCTCGGTTACACGACGAAAAAGGGGATTAGGCTTATCAATTTGTTTTGGCCAATTCATGTGTCTCGCCAGGTGATTTCAGTAGCTTCTAAAGTCAAATTTCCTTTTTGATCTCTTATCAGATTTACGATAAACCCCTTCCCAGGTAAGGGTTAAAAATGTTATGTATATATAAGAACAAATTTTAACTAAAAATCTTGATATTTATTAAGATGATGAATATCTAAGAACTTTTTTTTCTTGACATCAAACTCCATGCTATCTTTTGGGCCTTTGTCCGATGTATCAATACCATCAGAACTTAGATAAAATTTTTCATCACCTTTAAGGAATAAAAACCAGTGTACATAAGATTTGATGTCTTCACTGCAACAAATAAAGTTACTATTTAAATAATTAGTATGGTACCTGATAATTGGGATAACATATAATCGTTGGTACTGTCAATATCTTGATTTCGTGGACTTAATATAGCTCTTTTCTTGAAAAAATATGGATCTCGTATCTTTGCAAATGATTGTCCGTAAACTTCCTTCACTATGGTTTTTATAGGATTTTCGCACTCAGTTATCAGGAGATCTTCAGGAATATTGATCTCAACCTCTCCATCGTTTGGTTGATTGATATTTCCATCACCAATGTCTAGACACTACAAGAAAACTCGTCCATTACTATGACGGGTTTTCCTCGTTATTTCCTAGTAAATGGTCTTTTACTAGGAAATTACGAGGAAAAACGTTTCCTCGAAACACGTTCATCGTAAAGCCATTTTCCTCGTAAGGTCCTAGCAAATTTACGAGGAAAGCTTTCCTCGTAAAGGCGTGGTAATATTTTCCTCGTAAGCTTTCCTCGTAAGCTCGTAGTAAGTATTTCCTCGTAAGGGCATAGTAATATATTACGAGGAAATTACTAGAACCGTTTACGAGGACATTACTTGGAATACTTTACGAGGATTTAGCTTGGAAATGTTTTTTTTCCTATTAAAAAAAATAATTACAAATAATTAATTTATTTTAAATAAATAAAAAATCAATTTATAAATAAAAAAAAATAAAAAATAAAATATTTTATAAATAATTAAATAATATACAAAAAGTTTTTAAATTCATAATATACAAATAAAAATAAAAGAAACTACGGATGCTGGTCGTGAAATTGCTGAACGAACCGGTCGTCGTCCTGGCTCGGCAAATCCTCTCCATAGTTGGTTGCCGGCTGTGACTGTGATGGCGGAGGATGTTGGGTACTTGGAATCCCTNTTGCGGGTTTCCAACCGCCATAATGTCGAGGATATCGGTGAGAGAAGTGACATGCTCGGTGAGCGAAGTCACATGAGACTGCGTCGCCTGCAACTCCGAGCGCAGCTGAACATTGACATCGTGCTGCTCCTGATGATAAGACGATGTCGCTGCAGGGACATCGTTAACCGAGCCAATCCCGATGATACGCCCCTTTTTCTAGGGGCGACCTGAAAATAAAAATATTAATAACATTAAGAAAAATTTAAAAAATATTAAAAATTAATAGTAAAACAAATTATTTACCTCCTCGTAAATCTTATCCACGTCAACAGTGGATAATATGACTGGAGACCCAGTCTGCTGAGTCAGCTGGGTCTAGCGTTCGTCAACTCGGGCAACAAGCTCGTTGTAGATCCGCTCGGAAGCATGATTTACAAACTGCCCAGCCTTGTTCTGGTGGGTCCTCTCGTAAAGGTCTTTCAGAGATGGAAGAACTCCTGTCTCCTTAGCCTAAAATTAATTTAAAAAATTAAATATTAATTTGGAATATATTCAAATAAAATAAAAATTAAATTGATATTAAAAATCATCTTACCATGTTTAGACGAACTCCCCCGTGAGGTTTTCGACCCGTGGTGTGAAGCACCTTCGTGTTGCCATGCTCGTCCTTGGTCATGCGGTTCCCGGAGTTTGTGTTGGAGGTTTTGACCGAGTCCGGCAACCCCCAATAGCTGATGAGGCCATCCCACACCGTGGTTGTGAGGCAATCGGGTTTCCCGGCCTCGTAACCATCCACCTGATTTAAAAAAAAAATTAGAATTAAAGTCAATATATAATATTTCTAAAACTATATATATGTATATTATAATTTATAAATCTATACCTCATAGTCGCCCTTCCAGTTGTAGACCATGTCGAGCAATCGTGCTCTTGCCTTGGCCTCAAACTCCTTCTTCACTCGCTGGTGAATCCCAATAGACCAACGATACTTTTGCTATAACCAGAAAAAATAAAAGACGGATTAGTTCAATTATATTAATAATTTTAAATAATTAAAAATAAATTAACGAACTAAACTTACAACGAACGATTTGAACCACGTCTTTTTTGTGTGGCTCGCCGTCATATTCCAGTTTGGAGCTGGATCGGGAAAGTATCCCTTGATACAGTCTGTGACGCTAGATCCGACACTATTGTCACAACCAAACCTGGAAAGACACAAAATAAATCATTAATTAGATTAATTTCTGAATATTTTGTTAATTAAGAAATAAATTAAAAGAAATTTAAAAATTAAAACATACCATAAAATGTTTTGGCCGTCCCGTCGGTAAGGATCTAACTCTGCCAGCCCTTCTCTGCCTGGAAGGGCCAAAATATCCTCCACCGTGTACACCGCAAAGGGTGCGTTCGGCGGCACCTTCAAATCGGGATG